ACTAACGAGATTAGGTAGCTACGTCAACTCGAGTTGAAAAATATTATCATCGTTTTTAAGTACCTACTAGCGTAAAAAAACAAAATAATCTTAATTTTATACTTTTAATTATAATTCGGTATTTATACTTTCTAAAGGTTATCGCTCCTCTGTATAGGTACGGTGCAGTATAATAGCGGATCGTACAAACACGACGCTCGTCCGGATTATGATCCGGTGTAATTCCCGAACGGTAAAACGGCGCGCGGAAAAGGTCTCATACGGGACGTAATCCTCTCGTCGGCTGAGAGAACATTTCTCCGCGTGTATGATGCCGAACTCTGTGTTATTATTACTATTATTATTATTATTATTATTATTATTATTATTATTATGAGCTCGCATCGCTCCTGTCACTGCCGCATAATCCTCACGTCGTCGTCATTGTCACGGAAGACGCGTTTCAATAAATGATTATACTTTATATTGTACGACGATCGTAAATGGGTATTAACTATTAGGGACACGGATATCGGGATAAAGACCACCGGTTGTTGTAGGCGTTCCCGAACGCGTGTGGATTCGAGCGTAGGCACACGTTATTATAACTAGACATGCGGCAATGACGGTCTATATTCAATCGCGATGCAAACCATACGCGGGTTTCGCACAAAAGAACAAATATTCACATGATTTTTTTTTTTTTTTTTGTCCCAATAAGTATATAGTCTTTGACCAGACATTCAAGTTACGGTTCCGCAATGCTCGACGTATTACGGCTTCGTGATTTTACTACCGTTGCCGGTTTATTTACGACCAATACGTATTATGTTCGCGAAATGGCGGCCTGCATATTATTTTTTTTTCATTTTGGTTTTTGTTTATTGTTATTAGTCCACCGCCTACACTTGTTTCGAGAATGAATATTTTTATTTTCTGTTGGAAAACAAAGCTTTTTATAATAACTATTGTGACGATACTCCGTAGTAAATCAAACAATTTGTTTAGACATAATATTATGTTAAATGCAATAAATTCACAGACAAAAAGGCTACTAATACCTCCACTTCAACGGTCCTCTCAGAATAAGACGTTAAATGTTAAAGCATGGGAGTAGTCCAGTGTCGGCCTGTTCATCGAAGAGCCCGGGCGAGATTTTTTTTTAAGGGCCGAACCTACCTGACTCTCACGCATTATTGTTTTTATTATTCATATGTGTGTTAAGTAATCTAATATTGTTCACTCGATTTTTATTTTTTATGAATTAATACAACTTGTAATTTATTACAAACTAAAATAAATGTCACCTTTGTATATATTACCTTTGGTTTAAAAATAACTATTAAAAAGACTTTCTAGAATAATGAAGACAGGTGCAGCCACTGTTATAGGTAAACCGTTGCTAACGAAAAAACGATTCTGAGCGGAGTTCAGTTGATAGTGATGCTTCGTCAACAATATGTGTGTCATATTATGGTAAAATATATTAAATAGGCTTTACGTATTTTCTTTGATAATATTCGTTTAATGTTGTACCGATTTTCCTAATTTACCTACGTTTTTCCTTGTTTTCCCGTGTTTTTTTCCGGTTTTTTCACATTTCCTGTGAAAACTCTTGGGAAAATCAAAAAATGACCTTCCTAAAGTAACTTCCCAGTTGAATTTCCTTTTAGAAAAATTACACTATGTAAGTGTTAATATTACAACAATTATCGTAAACGGCAAAACACATAGTTAATTATAATTAACAGTAAGTACTACCCGATTAACGTTTACTATGCCATTACAGACGTATTGAGATGTCGGTAATAATTATAATATAATATAGTCTTTGGTTTGTTATTTTCGTTCAGGTGTTGTAAAAGATGATTTTGCGAGAGTAGGTATAACACAACTGGTACAAACAGATATGATATCGTATGGCTACCGGCCACGGTATATATGTACAGGTATATATATATAAATATATATATATATATATATATATATATATATATATATATATTCGAATATAACATAGTGTAGTCCATAAAAATATTGTACGCTCCAAGAAATGATTTTTATTTTTATTTATTGCCCACAATCATCCCCGCATAACTATATAAAAAAAATAAAAAAAAATTATAAAAATATTAAAATACATAAACCGTTCACGAAAATAACAGCGATAAATCACTGTATTATTTTTGTACAGAAACGATAGCGTGTTAATGAAAACTTATTTTTTCAAAAATTTGAATGATTAAGAAACAAAGAACACAAAAAAAAAAAACCTGTCTCCAGTAAGTTTAATGTAGAGTATGCCTCCGAATATAATATTGCGTATAAAAGCTCGAAATTATTATAGAAAAAAAAATGTATTCTTTAAGTATGAATTTTTTGCAAAAAAAATCGATCAATAATGTTAAATCATCGTGAACAAGCAAACAACCCGTGAATATCAGCTAGAGCTTCGTCAATAATGTCGAATATTCTCCCAATTATTTTTCACAAAGTAATTTATTGGAAAAACATAAACGACCAAATACTATACATTATAATAGAATCTCTATTGTTCTATGCGTCTATACTATACTACAATATTATTATACTGTTTACAATAAAAAAAAAAAAAAGGACGGCACACATCGTACGTGGGTGCAGCCACTGTTGTAGGTGGGAAGTTGAAAAGATAAGCCACAGACGGGAATATAATATATATCTGTAAGCAAAGACCAACCATTGCTAACGAAAATACGATTCTGAGCTGAGTTTAGTTGATAACGTTGCTTTGTCAACAATACAATATATGGTATCATGTCGTATTATGGTAAAATGATTAACACTGTGCGTTTCCATGACAACAATGATTGTTTAAAAAATATTAAAATAATAAAAACTTAATAACAATAAAAAAATAAAATAAAAACTGTTGCCAATGACAACCTTATTTTTAATACTTCAATCTTTTTTGACCTTAAGACAGAGGTTTATCTCACTATTTCGAATATTAATACAATTTTTAAAAAAGTACCACCCAGAAAAACATTTTTTTCAGAAAAGTTTCTATACTTGATATTTGGAGTATGCTTTCTGGTAGAAAAAGTGTACACATAAAAAACAAAAAATAAACAACGTTATAAAACTAATACATTCCTCGTTCCACTCAGAATATGGAATGGAAGGAATGCGGAATGAAACCCCCTAAAGGCGCATCTTCGATACTATAACACCATTCATATACAAAATATCATCCGCCTAGTTTCATTCTGGGATATAGGTCTTTAGGTAAAAGGAACACCTTCCATCCAAAACAACACGGTTAAGTTCGTGTCGAAAAAAAGTCATATCTTTTTAATTCAAAGACAAAAAAAAAAAAAAAACTATGATTCCCGAGTCTGAGCTCATTTGATCCGGCGGGAACAATGGGCAAAATATATTTAATTATTAAATAATATACGTATATTTTATTATAACAAATAAAATACAGTGAAATAGCCTCTATTTTTGGGGAAATGTCGACAAAAACGAAATTCTTCAACCACGAAATAATTATATTTAATTATATTTATCGATCGATAATACTTACATTGTTTGTTTTTTTTTTTTTTAAGTATTATTTATTATTTCACTGCGTACTGCAATGCAGTGAAATAAACAAAATTGCATATACGTATAATATTGTAATAAATAAAATGGAAATGCAAGGGCACTGACGAGATTCGAGCACTGCGATATTATAATATTATATTGTCCTGACAGACGGTACCTATAGACACTCACTTGCATAAAATTCGAGTGCAAAACATTCGGACGGGATTCCGTTCGTATATCATTAAATTTATTTCAAACAGTACAATAATTAATTCAGTACTCGTAGGTAAAACAATGAAAAAAAAAAAAAAAAAAAAAAAAAAGATCCGAACATACCTATAATACCTACGACCTACCTATACATTATAATATACGCTACCACGATAATGCGCTTTTGTTTTCGTAGCAGGCCACGTGGGCGGGTTTGTCAAAGGAGGCGTGTTTTATTCTTTTTATTTTTTTGAAAATCTGAAAACAATAAATCATCGTATATTCCGAAAAAAAAAAAAAAAAAACCCGCGGTCTTGACCGAAGTTCATTTGCCACTGCGTAGTACATTATTATCACGTTTTGTATTATTCGAAAGTATAATGTAAAAAAATAAAACTCACGACTTTCGGTGAACTATGATATGTATATATATAACGATGTTTCAAAAATCGGCTTTATTATAATTTCAATGACCTTTGGAGATAATGCCAAGTTTTAACGCCGCTGCCGCCGTAATAATGAAAACTTTCGATTAATCTTTCCGGTCGACTGCAGCATCGCGCGATAGCTATATAGGTAGGTATAGCAAAATATATTTAGATGGCATTTCTTATTCCAAAAAAAAAAAAAAAGTCACTACGCCCCGCAGCCCGACCCTCCCTTTACCGAATACCGCATTTTAATTATAAAACTTTTAAGGAGTACAAATAATAATTTATATGGGAACCCTGGTAAAATCGACGTATCGGAGAAACACGGTAGGTAATTATTATGTTTATTCGAATTTTTTTTTTTTTTTTATATTCTACTAAGAATTTACTGTCCTCCGGTAAACAGATTTGAAATAGTGAAAAAGTCGTGCAATGCGGGTCGAGTAAATGTCTAACAATTTTATATCCAGTGGAGGATTTCGCCAAAAATGGAGATATTGCGTTTGGGAACTCTTCTATATGTGTTTAACGCGTGTCGATTAATTTTTCTATAAGCAGTATAAACCGTAGTAAACGCATAATATATTAAGCACAGAACTTTATGCAGTATACTCCCGAAAAAATTCGAATGGCAATTTACCATTGCAATCAATGAACTAGGTATTATTGATTGTAAGTAGAGCCCAGAGTTATATACATTTGCATGTTTGTACATAGTGTATGCACATCGATGGGGGTTTGAAATGTCTACGGTTCATATCGCACCGAATTCAAATACCGATTTTGGTTTTGCATATTTTGCATATTCTGAGGATTATTGCATATTAGTTCATAAATGCATATAATGTATATCTAGTATTGATAAATCAATTTTGCCGTAGAACAAAAGTTGTTGCCATTGTTTCTCAGAGGAATTTTGTTAAAATATTGTTATATTTACCACACTGTATGAAATCAGAGCTCTAGCCTACGTTCACAATCATATATGTTTTGGCGTTATCATTTTATGAATTCGTTTGTCATTATTGCCGTGTGTGTTTGTCGTTATATTTTTAAATCTTGTTTGGTAAAAAGCATGCGATTTTAGTTTTATTATTTTGAAAGTTTATTGTTAGTTTTCCAGATATTTTATTTCAAATAATATAATACGTAATAAATTATCACTAAGTTTATTACTTTTCTAGGTGTAAAAATGGTGTTTTATTTTTTTAAACATATTTTATTAAGTATAATATAATGCATGTAGTTGCATATTTAGCCACTTTTTGTATGCATATAATATATACAACATATGTCATTTTTATATTGTGTTATTTCATACCGATAGGCTTTCGTTTTAAACAAAAAAAAAATGTATAAGTTCACGATTTTTCAATATGTTATCGTGAAAAGACATTTTTGATTTTCCCTACCGAAAAAGTAAAGAAATCTAAATTTAAAAAATAGATTGTTATGTAAGTATAATAGATATTCAAAAAAAAAAATTTAAAAAAAAAAAACCAAATGGGGTTAACGGTTCCCTAAATACGTCACTTGATTATAACTCATAATAATCCCGGATAATTTATTATAACAGACGGCCGTGTGAACGAGATTCCAGATTTTCGTTCGAATCGTACAATTTCTTTCGAGTGTATATTATAATAACTACATCGTCGTCGACGGCGTCGAGGAACGTTCAATTATTTTCACAATGCCGTTTTATATACGTCTGATCAATATTAATGTTTCCAGTTTTCGCGAAGTGGAAGTGGAAGAAGAAGAAAAAAAAGCGCATAATACAATACGCGCCGGATATATCGACAAAAGTGTCTGCGTTCGGTGGGCGAAACATTTGTCTGCGCAACAACTCTCGTCTGGCACTGCGGAGACTGGCTCACCGCGAATAGTACATGTATACGCGACGTCAGCATCAATACGAAAGGGTCGTACATTATCGCCTTACAACTCAAACAATGATGGACGACTAGCCGGAATCGCTGTTAGTATATATACATTCATGATAGTGCTCCCCGAAATTCATATGTAAAAAAAAAAAAAAAAAAAAATGGAAATCTAAAATTTTAAATGTAACTTTTGCTCTACGACTCGGTAATGTTTTAGACGGTTACGATTTTGGTTATCGTTATTTTAGACTACGTTTTATACGGAGAACGCGTGTGAAATATAGTTTCCAGTAAAAGGTACTCTCAAGAAGGAGTAGTGGGGAAAAACTCCCCCCTAGCTTTCCAGCAAGTAAAAATAATTATATCCAAATTCAATATCTCAAAATCTTAAAATCCATTGTCAGTACCAAAGTTTATTGATATTTATCATTACTTTATAATTGTATTTTATAACTAATAACTAACTTAATATACTTCGTGAAAATATTAATCGGCCAATTTATTATCACGACGTACAATGATTTATGCTCTTTTATTTGAAGTTGGTACAAACCACTACAGATCATTTGTGAATGTTGTTTGCGAGCTGACTTGCGGTTATCTAATGTGTGAGAACCGTATTATATATGTTAAGTTTACATAGGAAAAAAGTCAACGAACTCAATTTAGCAGAAAAATTTTGTTAACCAATACCGGAAAAACAAAATAAAATTGCAATTTTTGTTCAATTACTTACTATAAGTGTAAAATTTAATATTTTATTTTAATACCTTTAAAATTTTTTGAAAATGCACATAATAGACTACAAAAAATATTTGATTATTAAAACAAATTAAGACTATCCCTTTTGAATATTCCCCTCTGGGCGCCCTTGTTTTCAGTTAATATAAAATTGCTATAAACAGGCGTCTGCGGGATGGTTGGGTGGCGATAAACGCTAAAACCTAAGTAGTTTTTCGAAACGGCCGATTGTTTACGTGTTCGATTTTCTCGCACGCATTTTAGATTCAAATGTACAGCTACATAATTATAATAGTTTCACCGAGACGTGCGTGTTTTAGTTTCTCGCAAAACTCCTTGCGGGTTAGTAAAAATGCTGGTTGTTTTATATTTACAATGCGATAAAATTATAATAAAATCGGGGTTTATTTTGAATGCAATGGAATAGAGCGAATAGTTTTCAATGAATCAGCGAACCGGTTTTCTCGGTGGGCGGGTACTAGACGATCGATTTGCCCGCCATCGCACCACTGATAATGAGATAGAAAAACAGAAATCAAATTTACCTGAAATTTTCCGAGAAAGTCGATAGTTCGCCGCGATAAATGGATCACCCCGGGTGCGCATGCTTTTATTGGATTTCGTTCGGCATAGCGACCCGGTCCACATATAAAACCGATAAATAATTATTATTTTAAATCAAACTCCAATATAATTGAACGTTTACGAGGCGGATTGATTTGAACGAATCGTATTTTATATTATATTATTATAAATTGTATAGGTAGATATATATTTTTTTTTTTCAATTATGTTTTTGTTATTTGCATAATATCAAAACTAAACGTCGAATTATTTTCATTATTTCCGAAAACATCGTTCCAGACCTCAAAACGGAAATTGGTAGGTACTCGTGAACTTGATGATAAATTGACATTCTTCTCTCGGGAAAAAAAAAAATATATATATATATCAAATAAATTACTTTATTTTTGACTCGACGAATAAAACATCAATAACGATATTTTATTCGGTGCAATAATATACATCCGCCTGTCTCGTATTTTCCATCTCCGTAGTCGAGTGACGATTGTGTATATCGAATAAGTAACGACGTTAACATCAAACGAACTGTTAGATTTAATTTTTTTTATTTTCAAATATTGCCACACAGACGTTTGGTGTTTTGTCGATTTTTCATATCTATTTTTTATTTTGTTCGTACTTCGAGAGTGGATTGTTTTTAATCTAAAAACATTTTTGGAAAAAACGTCGTCTGAAGTATAATAGTATAATCCAAACGAACGGAATTCCGCGTTATATAAAATGAAAAGCAATAATTATTAATTATTATTACGGTGTCACGTCGGAGTTTTACACAACAAAACGTGCCGAAACCTGCAATAGAGTCAAAATACCATTTTTTATCCTTCAGTAGTCGATAATGATTATTCGATAATTTTTTATTGATATAATATGGATTTTTGACGAAAAATATGTATTAATTTGTATTTAGATTTATGTTACTATTCTAAACTAAATTCGAATTTACACGTCTTGATATTTTTATCGTCGGTATTTTTTGTTTTGTGTGTTGGCTGACCCGTTTTCCTTAGTATTATCATTTATATACTCTCTGTAATGTAACGCTGAGAAGGTTTTGTCGATTTTTTTTGTTTTATTAATTTATTTCTAACCTTTTGTTTGTAACCATGGTGCGACTAACAATTAAAATTCGCGTTTTGGTTGTTGAAAATTTTTATTGCCAAAACAGAGTGCCATCTTAGACGGATCATGGGTTTAAATGAGGCTCCTAATAAATCGACAGTTCATCGATTGATAGTTAGGTTCAAGGAAACTGAACTAAACCAAAACGCGTTTTTGAATAGTTAGTCACACCGTGGTTACAAACAGAAAGTTAGGAATATTTTGATTGTTTCTTAACAATCGATAAAACCTTCTCAGCATTTCATTGCGGAGAGTTTATAAATGACAATAATAAAGAAAAACAGGTTAGCGTACAAACACAAAAAAAAAAAAAAATACCGAGCAATTTAAATTCAGCATTCTTAATGGGAAACCTCATAGATTTACAACAACAATATATACTTTTTGCGAGAACGTCTTCTTTTGTTAACATTCAAGTAGATATTTTATATTATAAAATAGGTGAGCAGTCTTATGTACTTACCTTTATTGTGATTTCATTAGACACTGGTAGGCAAATTATAATGTATACAGTTTTTGATTTCTCGAACTTCGTTTTACTTAAATAAAGTCGGTTAAGACTTTCTATACTTTTATTTCTTATGGTTTTTTACATCACAAAGTTGTTTGCAAAACCATTATGTTGCTCGTATTTCAACATTCCTATATCGTTTACCTCAAACAAATATCACTGTTTTTTTTTTTTTTTTCATTTATCATTTTAAATATTGCCATTAATAATTTTATAATATTAAAGCGCTTCTTTTTCTCAACAAACAATACAATATGCGGTTTATTTTATTTTATAAATCGGTACTTTTATTGTTATTTGCGTGATAATCATTTACGGTTTTCAACGGTTATTAATAAAATGCATACCAAATCGTTATGGTGTAGTATATTTTACGTATATTCGCAAAACCAACGTTGACTTTGCTAGTGCTAGTTTAACCGAAAAACGTTAGTTTTTAAATTGTGTACTAATTTCGTATTTAGGTCGATTCCCCTGTTATTGGATACATCCCCATTGACTTTAATATTACAATATTGCTTGTTCGGGAAATTTCGTTTACCTTTTTCGATTTCACATAATGATTCCGAAGGTCGAAACTTGTAAGTACCTACAGATAACACTAGAATAATATTAAATCCTTAATAAAATATGGTAAGGTTGGGCGCACGTATGCGAGTAGCAATATACTGTAAAATAATTCACTTCGTTATAATATTCATATTATTAAGCGAAGGAAATTTCTCCATAACACAATAATATTATATTGTGGGCCGAATGTTTGACATTTTTGAGTAACAAAACTGTTATTAAATGTGTATTTATTTATGAATTAGTCAAATTATACTTAACTGACTGAAATTTATAACTCTAAACAGTTTAAAAATATCAACAAAATAATATAACGGGAGGCAGGCAAATACAGGAGAAACCGAAGAAAATGTAAGACAAACTAACAAATGTTAGGATGATTATTGGCCTGTTAATTACAGGGGCGTATTAACGGAGGGGCGGGGGTTAAATATATAACAATATATTATTAACAGGGTTCTTAAAAATGCATATTTCTGAAATTTAAAGTGCATCGCATGTTTTCTGAGTTTTTAGTGCATAAACGCATGCATATTTATGTGTTTTATATGCTCATTTATAAGCGCTTCTAATTAACATGAAATATTCTTACATATATTAAGTAAAGTATCACCCAAAAAATTAATTTACATAATACAACCCGGCTCCTAAATACGTTTCTAACTAGTTAAAGACGATCAAAGATATCTGGCAGATGCAAAATTAATCTTTGAAAGAGTATTAGATTCTAAATACCTACCTAGAAGTTAGTATTAGTTAACAAATAAATGCTCACGAAGACATAATCCAGAGAATAGCGGTTGGGAATAAATTTAATTTTTCACTTATATTGTTATAAATTATGAGTGAAAATTGCTGTTCAATAGAACCAACGTAAGATTATATAAACCATTCATTAAATTAGTTGTTTGGCGCGTGGGCATCAACAACGTCATGGCGAAAGGAGATTATTAATATTTAAATGGAAAATCGTACGTAAAATACACGATCGCAAAATAAACGAAAAGGGAAATGCATATTAATCAAAGACAAATGCTGTGTTAAATGACCTGTATTGAGCCATGTTTAATTATCCAGATTTAATTGAAGTTTTAAAAGCCTTAAAAGAAGGATAAGATGACCGGGAACGTTAAGCGGATACATGGTCAAATAATATAGAAGTTCGCAATTTGGCAACCAACGATTAGGCCAAGGCAACGTAATAGAGTGACCGAATCCGGGAAAGTCTCAAGCTCTAAGGAATAATAAAAGACTAGAACATTAAATCATTGACAAGGATGCTCGAAAGAACATAATCAAGCGGAGATGAGCTTATGAGGATCGAATTAAGAAGAAAAAGAATATTAATAATGACAATAATCATAACGGATCTTGTTAATTTTCAAAGAGCTAAAAAAAAAAAAAAACAAAACGAATCCGAAAAGACTAAAACTTTATTAATTTTTACGCACTCATCTAGCTGTGGTTTATCAAATTTTTTTTTGGGCGATTAAATTTCATTTTTGTCTCGCCCGGGTACTCTTGAAACTATAACTTCTTATAAAAATATATAAATGTAAACAAAATAACAATTCTTGATAAGTCTTACTATCTGAGGGAGTACCCGGAGGATGAGCACCACAGTTTTATTAAAAAACAAAGACGACTAGTGCGAGTAGAATGTTACGGTATACGAAACCAGGCAACGAAAGGACGTGTTATTTCAGACGTTGCTTTTTTTCCCAAAAACAAAGATCGAATAAAGTAGGATTATGTGTTTGCTATATTATTATTTTCACAAAATAAAAATACTACGTTTTGTACCACGAGGGACGAAAAAAAAATACAACTGCGCAGGTTATAACTTCTAGCTTATTGTGTTTAAACTTTGAATAATATAACGTAGGTAATTTTTAACAGCGGGCTACGCTAATATGAATTAAAAAACCCTTTCAAAGTTAGATAGGTACCGTACATAAATATAACATCAGCAGTTTTCCGAATTTAAGAAAATGATTATAGTAATATTGGAATAAAAAGTTTAACATAGTGCTGTGCAATATAATATCGATCGTGGCGTTATTTAAATATCTTTTAGTATTTAATCAAAAGTACGAATAAACTGCATAGAAATTATGCAATTATTGAAATGTGAAGAAGAAAAAGGGATGGTACATACTTCACATGTGGGTGCAGTCACTGTTGTAGATGGGAAGTTGAAAAGATAAGATACAGATGTGAATTTAATGTATTTCTGTAAGCAACGATAAACTATTTCTAACGAAAAAAAAAGATTCTGAGCAAAGTTCAGTTGATAGTGTTGCTTTGTCAACAATAAAATATATGGTATATTATATCGTATTATGGTTAAATATTTACAACAATGTGTGTTTCCGTGACAGCAATGATTGTTTAAAAAAAATTAAAACAATAAAAACTTAATAATAATAAAAAATAAATAAAATTGGTTGCCAATGACAACCTTATTTTTAATTTTTCAATCTTTTTTAATCTAAAGACCGAGGTTTTCTTCATTATATCGAATATTAATAAGAACTTCAAAAATGACCTCCTCAAAGCACAACCTAAAGAACATTTACTTTCATAAAAGGTGTTATAATTGATAATCGGAATAAGCTTACAGGTAGAAAAAGTGTTCTCGTAAAGAAAAAAAAATAAAGTAAACATCTTTGTAAAACTCAGAATTTGAAATACATTAATACTATTATTATTACGGCGTTACTCTTTATTGACAATATTATCAACGTACATCCATAGGAGTAACAATAGCAACGACAAAACAAATTGTTATAATAAAAACTAGAGTCGTTTGAGTTTTCTTCGCTTGGAATTTACAAAAATAGATTTTTACCTATTGTTGCACTATAGTATTATAATAACGAAATTTTGTATTTTATTTAGTATTGGCCGAGTACTTTACTAAGCATTTTTTTGTTTTCTAACAATCCTAAACTCGAATATTCGACTTTTGAAATTGACTTGATTCGAAAATAATAAAACGTGACTCGACTTACCCAACTCTAGTAAACATTATACTTATTCAATTTGTAATAATGTAATCGATTGACGGTCGAATTTTATTAATTATAACCGTTTGAACCAATGATTTTCCTCTACGTGTCTTATTTACTTAACAACTGGGGCGTGTTACGCAAAAACCGGTGGAAATATTTAATTTAAAAATCTTTTTCTACTAAACACAGGTACCTAACAATATTTTAAGTGTGAAAACTCTCCGGGCTTTCTACTTACTAAAAACCGACAAATACGAATAAATTATTAATGTTGTATCCATCTGATCGTGTAACGCCATAAACTGCACTAAATTTAATATTGCGGAACACAGTGGTCCGTTGAACGGGAAAGAGGTGGGAGAATGTAATTTTTTGCTTTTAATAAACAGAACGGTCGTTTTCACAAAATACGGACCCGGCCGAATTTAATTTTTACGAACGGTAAAGCCCGTTGCGGTGCCGGGATACAATGGCATAATGCGACTTTATGGCGACGTAATCCGATGTAATTATGTGTTATCGCGCCGTTAATACAACAATATTATTATTATTGTGGGTATCTCTATTCGAAATGTTGGTTTTTTTGTATTTTTGTTTTTACCGTCCTTAAAGTTTTTAACGTTTGTTTAATATATTTTTTTAATGTGCAATATATCTCACGGGAGAAGCTCGTCGCGGTTATACCGTGGACATTACGGACGTGGTACCGAATCAGATTCTTATTTTAAAAACGTCTGAAAACTAAATGTGAATACCCGAAGAGATGGAAAAAGAACCGAAAATTTGTTACCTACCTATACGTCATGTTTTGTACGCTAGCAAAATAATATATACTAATTCTTATCAGCTGCTTGTTATCGCACGCATTAATAAGGCAAGCATATTGATAATCTCTCCCAAGAACATTAATTCCGGAGGGGGTTGTCGATAATTATTTACCGTCTGTCGGCGCCATAGACACAAGATAGACCAGGAACAACGGTCGCTTGACATGTAATGCTCTTTGAAGCGAACATAATGTTTATATGAGTGTTTTTCTATCCTCGTATAGTTTTTTTTCATCGTAGCAAACATATTTACGTGGAAAAAACAATCATATTAGACTCAAACACGAAAAAAAAAGAACGGCTTATAGTCGATTCATCATAACGAATACGAATTATCGTATTCGCGAGACGTGTTATCACTGTTTTTCCTATTCAAGAAATCTATACCTATAGGTGTTACGTGCATATAGGATATAGTCGGGCGATATGTAATAGACTAGCCTCGGGTGTAACATATGTGAGCCGAAAGTGTTATGCTACATTCGAGTGCAGGGGGATTCTAAGATTTGACTGGTTTTAACGTCGTCTACATAATGTTAACATTGAATATGGCAGATGAACACGGACTAAGATATCGTTTTCCAAGCTTCGGCATTTTAAACCGAAGCGCTTCTTCATTTTGAAAAAAAAAATATATATATATACGACTTATTTAATTATACGTCAAACGTGGGACAGAGAACGCGCACTAAGGTACCCGGGACGCAGGATTGTAGAAATATTTCCAAAGTTATGCTACTGCGTGGATTTTATACGAACGGTGGAATGATGAGAGATTGAGAGATAACGAAACATTCAATACTTCTGCCTCCAACTCGTTCGATGCCGGTCCATCAAATTATTATACTAGTCCTTGGGTACCGATGATATCATCGTTGTTCAGATTATATTATGATAATATACGAACAGTAAATTATTTACTGAAATGCTTGTTTTTTTTTTGTGTGTTTCTATATATATATATATATAGTACCTGATTAGGCATATAATAATTAAACAGCCGAACACTATTTATATATATTTCAGTATACGTGTAACATTATGAAAAAATTTAAAATGCACTTGATTTTGTCGAATATTATAACAGTACTCGTATTGGTCGTGCGATAAGTTTTTTTTTTCGGTTTCAAGGTCGATTGAAAACCGATAGTGAAAAAAAACGCAGCACGTAATCTGATAAAAAAAAAAAAAAATAATAATAAAAACGACTACCATGTAATACCGTGTAATCATTTTACAGATATCTAATACAATAATTTGAAGTTTTTTTTTTTTTGCTTATTTCCAACTGAAAAATAAGTTATAATAATAACAATATAGTCTAATAACCGTATACGGATTTCGTTCGCCTAGGTGTATTTTATTTTTTATATAATATAATACATGTTATTTAATGATAACCAATAATAATAGTACTGCACCATTCGTGCATCAATGAATTATTGTCCGCGTAAATATTAGCGAGGTACACGATTCGGTAGATATTGTACTTGTAAAATATTTAATAGTTTATTCCGCATCGAGCGTTTTCAAAAAGCGAAGTTTTTCCATTTTTATTTAAAAAAATAAATACATAGTAAATTTTATACGAGTACAGATTACAGGGTGTCCCACAGAGTTCTGACAAATCGAATAGCTTTTGTTACGTTCGCTATTTTTAAGTTTTTATTTTTTATTTTTATTAAAATTACACTACATGCACTACGATTTTTTTATTCGATACTAAAACGTTTAATAAAGACGAGTCTTTATTTTTCTACGATTATTGAGGCTGACGAAGGTTATTTCTTCGTGAAAAAATTTGCGAATCGATATTATTTAACATAGGTATTTAGTGACAACAGTTTAACTTATCATAAACTTTAAAAACTTGTGGACAATTAACGACCTATATATTATCATTAGTAAACGTTTGCACCGCCAAAATTTTGTTTCGAGGTAAATTTACAAAATAGTTATCTCGAATTTTGAAAACAAAAAATTGTTAAAAGCGTAGCGCAAAACTCTATAGCAATTATTACGGATCAGAAAATATCGAACAAAAGTCATTGCATTATCAGATCTCCAGGGGACACTCTGTATATATTATATTATCACAAGTAAAATATAATGCCCGAGAAAAATTACAAACCGATCCAAACGTTTCGTAGAATACCATTGGATCTATTTTATGATTTTGAACCGATTGAAATTTATGCCAAATTCATTTGCTCCACACATATTTAAACACTGGAATATTCGTTTGACGAATACAATACTGTTTCGAGTTTTCTGTCAAAATCGAAGCAATATTTATTTTATTTTTGCCTGAATTTTATAAAAACGATTGTTATTCAAATGAACAAACGCATCGATTACAATATTATTATTATTATTGACACTCTTACAAAAGGAATGGTTGGGCCAGATAAAAATCATAATTTGACTTTAAGGTTTAACTTAGCTTTTAAACTTTGTTTTTTTTTTTTTAGTGGCGTGTCAGTTATCAGGCCCGATAGGCACGGGTCAACCTTGACTTTTCTTAACCCTACATAAGTTATATCTAACAAGTTAGCTTTTTTCCCATCTATTCGTCGCACAAAAAATCGGTGGAAACCGGAAGATGCCTAGGAATCCCAAACAATCTCTTAGAAGTCTTCAGCCCAGATGAAGACAACAGGAACAAAATCATCCAATTCCTCAAACATGCCGATACGTACCACTCAATTTAGAATAACTATTTTTTCGTCAACACTTATTTTTATTTTTTTACTTAAAAGTTGATAACTTAAGTTGTTGAAACTGTACCATAGAAAAAAGGAAAAAAATTTTTCTACGTTCAAAAAAAATCAAAACAAATGTATAGGCATTTATAACACGTTTGCAAAATTTAGCGTCGATGTCAATTGAATAGTAGTTCACTTTGGAATTAATTCAAGATCCTATCAAGATTATTGATGACTTGCATAAATTTAATAATAGAATAAATATGTATGAATGACTGCCAAGTAAATTTACACATTTGTATTCATACAATTTTCAATAATCATTTTTAATTTAAAACAAATATGTACATATACATAGAAGAATTCCATTAACGAAAAAAAAATTGTTTACACAAATTGTGGTGGTAATTATCAACAAAATTAGAAAAATGGGATTATTATCTCGATTCGTATGAAACCGATATTTTTGGTCGGCAAAATGGGATTCGCTGAAGTGATATGATACCACAAATTGTACATATAACCGAGTCTGTTTTACATTTTTATCCTAGGCTTGCTTCCCTCGAGTTTTTTATCAGCTTAGCTATTATTTTGTTTTATATTTTATTAATAAAAAATTAGTTGATTAATCATTTCTAACCATAAAGGTAACACGTTGAGTTGATTTCAATAACTTTTGATTTCGACGTAATACTGATATACATTTACAATTTATACGAACTTTATTTGAATATTTAGGAGTTGAACCCATTATACTCCGTGAATGTAAATGGCACTCCCCCATCTGTACTTGATCCCTAATTAATTGTAACAGACGATTTAAAAAAAAAAAAAAAAAAAACATCAACTCGAGTTAATTTATACATGTGGTTCTAAATGGACACGACTCGGTGTTAATGAATAAAAAAACGAATTACAAGCACTTGCATATTATTTTTGGCGGCACCTAGAACATTTCGAGTAAGAAATAAATCCGTTTTATACTTCGCCGATTACATCAACGAAATGTTTTAATGCCATTTTTCGCATATCTGAAAAAGACGGTCAGATTCGGTAGTTATTATTGAACTAGTACTAAGTGGTTATTATACTCTGATCGTTTCCGATAATCTTGATTGTTTTTAAAACCGTATCAGTAGTACTGTATCGCATTATTATTGGATTTAATAATCGGAAAATTATATTTTTCTTGTTATTTATAGCACCTATTTGATCGATTAAGTGCACAATTTAAGCGTTAAAAATTGATTTTTAGATTCCGGGCAAAGCGAGGGATCTATTGGTGGTTTTATTGCAATGTGTACACAATCTTTTTTTTCCATCTGTAAACAACTTTTCTCCTAGAAATGGTGCCCTAATCAAAACATGACAATAGATCTTTTTTAACGGCCTTTATTCATGACAAGAGGCTATAGTTGATTTTTTAGACGGGCCATTTTTCGAAATTCTCATTAATATCCGAGGTAATGAAAAAAACCGGTTCTTTGGTTAAAAAATATTTAAAATAAGGTTGACGTTAGCAACCGTTTTTATTTATTTTTCGTTATTATTAAGTTTTAATTAATTTAATCTTTTTTTTTTGAACAATCGTCGTTGCCGCGAAAACGCACATTGTTGAAAAAAAACAATACTACCATATTATCGACCGTCCTCCGTTTGGAATCGTATTCCGTTAGCAATGATTAATCGTGTGTGGCGTACATATATAAATTAAATTCCCCTCTATGCTCTACCCCAACTATCCACCAGCAACAGCGGCCGCACCCATCCCCAGTATAAGCTCTTTTTTTTTTAGTGCAATACAACTCGCGAGCCCCGGTTATTTTGTCCGTACGACGGGAAATTCGTATTCCGAAAAACCGTACACGAACCGCTCGAATATTGTTTTAACGACACCGTATCCGGTCGTTTTATTTTGAAACAACAGCCGAAAAGGAATTCATAAAAATATAACACACTATTTAATTACGTTATTTAAACGGTATATTATACCCCACCACGCGCATTGAAAAACGGCGAGGTTTTTTCCCCACGTAGGTTATCTTGATTTTAAACGCTTTTTTTTCCTAAACTCAGATCCCCTCTCCTCTTTCTGGGCACACGACGAGGAATATATTGAATTTACGATACGTGTGTGTGTTTTTTTCTCATTTAACTATAATTCGTTAAAACATCGAAAAAGCGAAGTAAAAAAAAAAAATCGTACGAAAATCGACTACAAAGGCAAAATAAAATTGCGTATTCTATTCCTACAGTACGATACGAAACGAATATATTGTTGTTGACCTATAACTTCCGATAGAATAAAAAAAAATAACAATAAAATGACTACGACGAAATCCAACTCTAATTATACTATCATTAAAACCATAGCGAACCAAGCGATTTATATCGTAACTTTTTTACGATATTTAAAGCCGCTGTCAAAATTTTCAGTCCGTTCGCGCCCACGTGAGCAGTATCGATTTTTTTGGTTTCGTTTGATAATTTCCATCGCACTATATCCGTTTTTGTGATAACTAGTGCTCGGAACTTGTAGTAGTCCCGTATTGTTACGAGATACGTGGCATAAGGCGTTTCCGGAATGTTTTTCCTCCTTTTACTCCTAGACAAGTATACCGTAAGACCGTTTCGATGTTTTTTACGAAATGTCGCGGGAACTTTGCGCAGTGGAATCTGTGATTCTGTAATCCGGATTTATAGCGTGCCAAGGTAGAAACCCGTGCTATACAGCGGAAGAGTTAAAAAATCGTCTATTTGAAATGCGTATTTCGTCAATTTCCATACGCGTCATATTATGCGTATTAAATATTGTCTAAAAAAAAAAACCTATTTTATTTTTCAATTTTTTACTTATACATTTCACTCATAACAAAGACTGCTAGAAGCTAAAATATTCTCAAAACTCAAAAACGCTAAAACTTAATTTATTTATTTTTTTGTTTTCATGTTTTAAGCGCGCATATTGAACAAGTCGACAAAAAAAAAAAAAAAAATCGACTTAATAGTTTTTATCGTGCTTTGTTTTTGCTTATTTTAATATTTTCGAACGCTTATTCCAGTGTTTCCGACGAAGTATTTAAACGTTATTTACATGCACTTGTTTTAGTTATCTATTTATATGATTGTACGCCATTCGGCTTTTATACAATATTTACGTGTGTGAAATAAGACAGATTGATTAAACAGTATATAGTGTAACGTTATTAATTACAAACGGAAATTGACGCGGTCTTGGTACAGAAGTGATTAATATGTTATTGGCTGTAGACATCTGTCTACCTATACCGGTGGATTTTTCGCAAAATTTGTTTTACGCGTTGGCGGACAAAAAGAAACCCTGTGTAACCTATACCACGTGGTATTACCTGGGACACGAATGCCGAGCCGCTCTGGCAGACGGGGAGCGTCGATAACGTGCCCTTCTGATAATTTCTCAGTAAAGTTAACGCGACATTTATTACGCCGTTCTGACGGTGGTTCGAGCACGAGTTTTTCGTTAATAGGCCGCCAGTAAACGGTGGACGGCGGACGAGCGACATTATGACGGCGGTGAGCCGTGTTTCTGGACTTTATCAAGTCCGTATTGCCATGGGCGGAGATTCCGGAAAATATGAGAGGGGAGACTTAAATATCCCGTAACAAATTAAGCCGTATATACCACGCCCACCCCCCTTCCCCAAAAAAAAAATAAAAAAAGATTTGCCGATACAAAAACGTCGAACGGAAATACCGCATACTTACCTAATAATTTATCTTTCGAGTGTAATACATTTATTTTGTTATAAATATTAATATTTAATATACCGGGTGGTTCGTTCAAGTGGATACACTCATTATCTCGGAAAGTATCACCCATTCCCGGAATTGGTTTTCTAGAACATTCAACAAACGTTCTGCTCTACAATTTTATATTTATGTTATTTTTGTTCGTCTTTATTTTTTGGTGCTAAAACCACTATCTAATTTTGATTTTGAAATGACAACCTATGTTAAAAATTCCATAGACAGTTGGATAATTAGTAAAATCAATTTGAGTGTTGAAGTTTTTGATTTTTGTCAAGCCGTTTGCGAGACATTCCACTTTTATGTTTAGGTTGGAGGAGTGTAGTGGTCCATAATCAAAATCAAAATTAGGTAGTGGTTTTACCCCCGAAAATGAGAATGACAAAGACTAACATAAATCCAAAATTGTTGAGCAGCTTGTTTACTAAATGTTCTAGAAAACAAATTCCGGAAAGAGCTAATACTTTCCGAGATAACGGGTGTATCCACCTAAATGAATCACCAGGTATTATTTATTATTAACGATAAAGCTACAGAGCACATAATCCAACCAATATTCGAAAACCACCACCGTTTTCCGTGTCAATTATTATTTTATCAGTGGACTCGATTTTCCGATTTGGTCAGGCGCGACGGATTAGGGAGCCTATGGCGAGTATTATTTATGCAAAATATTATGTGCACGCGGATTAACGTTAGATTAAATTATTTCTGACGTTGTATGTTTCAAAACGCAAAATATCGTTTAATAATCAGTGATCACTGTAGGTATCGGTTTTGTAAAACTATGTTGTAAAAAAAAAAAAGTGTACAATCTGTATAGGTACGTTTTGTTATTATGAAAAATAACTAGATATTATTTTAGAGGCGGGGACTTGAAAAACATTAAACGGGGATAAGCCCCGTAAGCCCCCCGTCCGGTCTCCGTCTGTGCGTACAGCGTATCTTCTTCGGTATATTTCAAAGGTTTTTAGCGCGATATAAGTCCCGAACCCTGATTGCACACTAATATGTATATACATGCGAGTTTACGATAATATAACGCACCGAGAGACATCGGCCGTGTAATTTCGTTCGCGTATCGGGTACCGGCAGTGGCGACGGTACCGCGTACTTTGAGAAGTCGTGCGGGCATAAAAAGTCGTATAGGCCGTCTGCGCTGTCGTTTGCCCGGAACACTACCGCACTGTGGTGCGCGCACTCTTAATTGATATTCCGTAAAAAGTGTTCGATAGAAAAAAAAAAAAACCAATACGGCTCAGGTAAGCGTCACCGATCGCCCGCCGCCGCGCCCGTTAAAACAACGGTGCGGGCCGTCCTCAACGCGCCGGTTTCGGCGCCACGACGGGGCATGTCCGGGCGATGTAACGCGGCGGCGGCGGCCGAAAAACGAAATCCTCGAAAACTTCGCCGGCGCGTAAGAATCGCAAAGTCCGATGCGTAAACGCGCGCGTGTCGTAATGTATACACGCATGCAGCGCGTACAGCGCGCGCCGGAGGTTAGGGCGTGGGGGGGGG